AGCGGTGTCACAGATTGGGGTGACCCACGGATCGGCGCTGGGGGGCGAGCGGGTGCAGAGTAAGAGCAGAGGCCAAGCCCTGTCGCTAACCTTCCCCTCGGCAGAGGCCGGCGCTGAATGGTGGGCGTGGGGCGGTCCCGGGGCCCCCCCTCCCGCCGGCAAGGGGCTTTGCACAGGCGGTCTGCCAGGGCGGGCTGGAGGGAGCGCTTGGGACAGGAGGCGGGCTTTCATCTGGCTTCGGGGGTCTGAATTATACATGAAGCGTCTTGGAAAAGCTGCTTCTGCCTCACAGAACCATTCCTTAAAGGGGCTTTTGGAATGGAAGCTCCAGGGACCCCAGGGCAAGGTCCAGACTCCCCTGCACCCCTGTGTCCTATCCGTAAAGTCACCCTGCACAATGACCTGTGTGCATGCAGAGCGGGACCCGCAGAGGCCACCTCCCTCAGTCACACTGAGCAGCTCAGTCCGGGAATACTGGGGCTCAGCGAGTCTAGACCTTGACAGAGAGGAACCTCCCTGGACACTGTCGGCCCCAAACGCCTGCCCCGGATGTGGGGAGGGGACCCCGCCTCAGGCCCTGGTACAGCAGCCAGGACCAGGACCTCAGCCCAAACTGCGTCCTGTGTGGTGACCCACCCCCCTGGACACAACGAAAAGACTAAGTCCGCCTAGGCCTTGAGCAGGGCCGGAAAGGAAGCCCCGGCTGGCCACAGTGCGTCTGCCCTTGACCCTGTGGGGTGGCCTGAGCACCACCTGGGGGGTCCCGGCCCTTCCTCACCGCGGGGTTTTCCCAGAGACCTCCCAACACACAAGAGTTCCTGGCAGCTCTCAGTCCTCAGGTGTAGACCTCTCCTCGGAGGGGCGCGGTGTGGCCCACGTGGCGGGGCGTCCAGGCGCTCAGCACTGTTAGGAGTGGATGCTGTCCAGCACTGTCGTTTATTCCTGAGGCACCCCTGCGGAGGGCACTCCCACTCCCACTTGTAGATGGGAAAACAGAGAGCCTTACCGTGATGACAACTTAAGGCACACGTGCAGACACGTGCAGGGCCCCTGAGCAGCTGGGCTATGGTGGCCCTCCTGTCATGCCTCATTCTTAGAGGACACAGCTAAGCCACGTCCAGGTGCCTGGACTCCTGACCACAGAAAGAGAGAGAGTGTATTGTTTAAGTGGTGATGTCTCTGCAGACTCTGACACGGCAGTAGCTAATACGCAGCCCTGTAGAAAGGGTGATTTTGGAAACTAGAGGCTGGACTGGGTCTCCCTGCTGCAAACCCGGGCCTACAGCCAGACCCCGTGCCAAGGCTCGCGAGACGCACTGAGCCAACACCATCTTCCCAGCCCCACCCAGGCCTGCCACTCTCCAGCCTCAGGGGTCTCCTTTCCGGTCCTCAGACACCCTGAGCTACTTCTCAGCAAGGCTGTCCCTCACCACCCATGTCTTCAGCCGACCTCCCACCCAGCTGTACTCCCCATCACGCTGTGCCACCAGGAGCGCCAGCTAAGCCTCCTGGTCCTGGTCCCTGTCCCTGTCCCCAGGCTGTGTCCACAGAGCACGCATTTCTCATGTTCTGTCCCTCTGTCTCTCTGGGCGAGCACACGTACCCTATGGCAAAAATCTCTCTCTTTCAAAAAATAAATAAATGGAAAGGGTCTAAGTTGACTTTCACGTCGCACTCAGTCCCCCATCTCTCACTGTCAGGGGAACCTTACAAGGAGGGCCCTGTCTGCAGTGTTCTGGAAGGTGACTTACTTCGTGTTCTGGGCCCGAGGCAGAACCGAGCAGGCAGCAATCCTGTCGCCTCTTCCTGTCCACTCTCCATCTTCTCTCCGACTCTGGCCTGGGCCCACCTGTTCGGCCACACCGATGGCCACCCTGCCCTGTCGTGTCCAGAGCCCAAGAGGAGACGGGAGTGAGGTCAGGCCGCAAGTTTCTTGGCTCTGCCACGCGGTCACCTGGGCTGCTGCGTCCCTGTGTTAAAGGCACAGCTTCTCCCCGGCAGCCCCTCACAGCACTCTCCTTCCAGGTTTAGGCAGCTCCCCCTCCGCCCGTCGGCCGACGTGGCTCTGCAGATCCTGCAGCGGCTCTGTCTTCACCGTCACGTCACTTGGCTCTTTGTGAGCGGGTCTTTGAATGATCCTAACTTGAGAGAGCCATCAGTTTCCTGACAGCGCCTTGATTGGTACACATTAATAATTCCTATTGATGATTGAAAAAATGTAAAAATCCGCCTTTATCTACTCGTTTTATTTTAAAAATGGTTCATCTTCAGAGAGGTCCTTTCATTATTTTCCTTTCCCCTTCCGTCTTAGGAAGATTCTGTTGTACATGACCCTGTTTAATCCTTCTCCTCCCCCAGTCTGGAAAGATCTTTCCACGTGGCAGTTCCCCGTAATTTATACGGTGGAGACGGGGAAATATAGGCCCTGAGCCCCGATAGCTAAAACTTCTGTCTTCTTGGACATTATCCTGGAGCCCAGCTTACATCTGGAATTGAGGTCTCCGCGAGGTTAAATCAGTTGTCACAGCGATTCAAGCAAATCTCGCACAAGCCGGAGAGCCTCGGGCGGCCTCCCACACCAGGGACCACTCCAAGGCCGGGGCCTGGTTCCTCGCGCCCATCCACTCCAGTCCCTCCGGCCAGTCTCCCGTCCCCGTTCTGGGCCGTGCACTGGTCTCTTCCATGCAGTCGGGAACATCAGCGGCCATGCCAGCTGCAGGGTCTGAGGCCCCTCCTCCCAGAGTCGCCGGTTCCCAGTCAGCACCCTGTACCCTCATACGCCTCGTGGCCGGCCTGGGTGCTGGCTACAGTGCTGTCCCCGGGCCCAGCCTCAGGGCCAGCACAGCGGGCCGGGCCAGGGAGCACCGCTCCTCTGCTCACACACAAACCTGGTCCCTGGCAGTCCCGGGGGAGCTGTGGGGACGGCAGAGCACTGCCCCTCATCACTCACAGCGAGCCCGGCCGCTGCGGCCCATTCCCGGACTGGCTCGCGTGTGGCATCAATTATTCACGCTCCGAGTATAATCAGCTGTCATGTCCAAAATAGGCCATTGTCAGGAAGGCTGTGGAGGTGCAGTTCCCCATTGGCGGTGCAAGCCCAACACTGGGGCCTGAGCAAATCTCCAGGGAAAGGCGCTCCTCGGAGCCACGGCTCAGAAACCTCTCCCCTGCAGTCGCGCGGCGGGTGGTGCAGGCTGGCTGAGCAGCTGGCTGCTGGCCGGGGGCTTCATCCCTCCCTCCGCTTCCTGCCCCGTCCCCTAGAGCCTCAGGGGCTGCGTGAGGAGACCAGTGCGGACACTTGCTCCTTGCGGTCTGTGCCCACGAGAGGACTGCCATCCGAGCCGGCTCCCCGGCTCTCGGCCTCGGCGCTGTGTCCCAGCACAACCCGAGTTCGGCGCTGGAGGGTGCACGCTTGCAGCTGGGTCCCCACTGGGACATCCGGCCTCTCGTGGGCAGTGGGCGCCCGGCTCAGCGGGTGGGGGGCGCCAGCACTGAGCTGGCCATGTCAGTGTTAGCTACGCTGCCCATGTGTTAGCGTGTTCTCTGAACGGTCTGAGGGTACGAGGGGCCGTCTTACAGGGGGAGGGCAATGTTCACTGGGATTAGAGTATAGCAAAGTGGGGGCCAGCAGGTGGCGTGGTAGTTAAAGTGTTGGAACCCACATGGCCAACCGGGGTTCAAGCCCCGGACCTGGCAGCTTGAGGATCATGCTGGGCGTGTGTGCTCCAGATCCTGAGAGGAGACAAGGAGAAGGGGTTGTGGCATGGCCGTTTTCCCAGAGGGGTGATTTCCCACTTTGCTCTCACTCTGTCTCAGCTTTTCTCTCTCTGGTGAACGTATGCACCCTACGGCAAAAATCCAGAATAAACAAATAAAGCACCATGCTGAAAGACGCACCATGTAAGATGGGGACTAAGGCAAAAGTGAACACGCCCGGCCAGACTGCTAGGAGGCATGTGGCTGGGAGGCCGAGCATGTCCTTGAGGCCAGCAGGAGGCAGGAGTTCGGCCATGAACCTGACCAACCCTTGCTGGCCTTCTGCGGGGAGGACAGCCAGTCTCTCAGGTCTCTCCAGCTGGGACCTTGCAGATGGGACTTGCTGCTGACTCAAGGGGCCTGTGCTCTGGGAGTGCGGAGGTCCTGTCTAAGCCGCCGTGCTCCGGTCACACCACGCCAAGGACGCCCAGTGCGCCTTCACTCCTCAGCTCCCAGAAGCTGCCTGCCTTAGCCCAGCCCTGCCCTCTGTTTTCCCGCCGTGCACCCTCAGTGCCGGGGACAGCTCGCTCGGGCTGCCCTGTCCTGCTCCTGGTCTTACAGGAGCATCCACAGAGGTTACGTAGCCCGATCCCCATAAGCCAGAGCTGGGCCTATGGGGAACTTTCATTTATGTATTTGTGGGAACTTTGAAAGCTCGTAGAAAACAGAATTGAATTACGAGTGTACTTTGGTGCAAACAGTTTCTGAAGTCCACACGTTGTTTTCCTGGTGCGTTTCCCATGCCCGTTGGAAGACCGCTCTGCCCCGTCTACCTTCTAGTCCACTTGTGCGGCTGTTTCCCGAATGCCCACTGTTCCGGGCACTCAGGAACTTCGGTAAGTCATCTCCTATGCATGCTACAAACTTGTTCTTAAGGTTTACTTGTTGTTTTTTTTTTGGGGAAGAAAGAGAGCCAGGCCCCACCAGCAAGGTCTTTACTCTGCAGGGCCCCAGCCTGGCTAGTGCAGAACCTAGGCATAAGTGCCCTCGGCAGGTGCCGGGGGCCCGGCCACCCTCCCATGCGGTCTTCCTCAGGCCTTGGCGTGGCGTCCTCCCTGCCCCGTGTTCGGTCAGCGCCAGGCCTGCTAAGGCCCCACTGCTGCTGTGCTGTGTGACGATCCCCTGGCTGGCTCTCTGCATTGCCCTGACACCTGTCTTCATTTCCAGGGCCCCTGAGAATGGTGCACTTGTACTGCACTCACTGGCCAGGGACTCGCTGTCCCGTAGAGAGGAACCTCGAATCCCTGCAGCGGCTCAGGCTCTAGAGAGAAACGGAGAAGAGAGAGAGACGGAGGGTCTTCATGTGCCATCCTCCCCCAGCCTCAGGCAGCCAGGACTGAGATGTGCAGGTGTCACCGTGTGGAGGAGGCCTCGGGACGCAAAGCCTTCTCACCGGAAGCCTCGGGCCCTGCAGAGGCTGAGGGACGGCTGCGGTGCTGTGGCCAGCCTGCTCCGTTTCCCCAGTGTGGACACAGACACATGTGCGTGTGTCTTCAGTGACACGCAGACACACGCACATTCACCGTCCTGGCTGTTGGCGCGTGCACGCTTAGTGTACAAAGTATAGTCGTTGCTCCCCAAGCAACCTCCGGGCCCTGCCCTTGTGCCCACACAGCCCTTTGGTTATGGAACAACCTGCTGTGGTTATGGAACAACCTCTTTCAAGACTCTGCCTTCCCTGCGTGGGTGCACCCAGGAGCGGGGCTGTTAGGCTGCACGCAGGTCCATCTTAAATCTTTGAGCATCCACCATACTGTTTCCCACAGCGACAACGGCCATCCACACTCACCGTAGTGCAGGAGGGCTGCCCGGCTCTTTGTGGAAGCCCCAGCCCAGAAGCACTCGGAGATGGCCATGCCTGCTGCCTACCGGAGCTCAGTCCTGCTGCTGATGCTTAGCAACCGGAGCGAGCCATGTTAACCGAGCGTGGCTGGTGGCAGTGCTTTCAGGCTCTCCTGCCGCGTCTGCCTTGAAAAGGCCTCCTTGTTCTCGAATTAACATGCAGGCCGAGCGCAGGCCCGGCAGACACACGCTGGTCTGCCTCGCAGTGACCGGGCAGCAGGCCAGGCTGTGCCGATCAAGGCTCTGCTAATCCCGCCTAATCTCCCAGCGTACAGATAGTGCGCTTGCGTGCGTGGTTTCCTGGGGAGACGCTCCCAGGGCCTGGCCCTCACTCCTCAGTGAGCTGGGGGGCCTATGTGTGGGGGTAGAGAGGCCAAGGAAACAGAAAACATGTGGACCAGCTAGATACACAAGGACCCCAGGGTCCCAGATATTGGATCCCAGGCCCCAGACACTGGGGCCGAGAACCCCAGGAGCTGAATAGACGGAGGGGTCCTGCAACAGACACAGGGGACAAAGGACCCAGAGCTTCCCGGGCGCCGGCTCCCTCCACCCAAATTGTTGTGGAGCTGGTGAAACAGAGCCTTAGTCCTAGTCTTTCTCTTCCTTTTCCTTTTTTAAAGTTTTGCTGTAAGGCTTGTACGCTCACCAGACAGAGAGAGAGAGAGAGAGAGAGAGAGGGAGGGAGGTGAGAAATCACCCCCTGGGGGATGGCCACGCCGCAGTCCATTCTCCATTTCCCTCTCTGGGTTCTGGGTCTGTGTGCACATATGCCTGGTGTGGCTTTCGAGCTGCTGGGCCCAGGGCTTGAACTGTACATCAGCGATGTGCAATCCAGCGCCTTAATTACCACATCACCTGCTGGCCCATCGGCGTCCTCATTCTTGTGCCAGGGGTATCTCTGTGCTCCCGGGGACGCATCTTAAGTGAGCAGTCCCAGTAGCTCTGCTCTACTCAGCTCGCGTCTGGTTTTGGTTTTGTCTTGTTTGGTTTTCCATGAGAGACATGGAGAGACAGGCACCCACAACAAGGTCTTCACACTGTGCCTCACCAGTCTGTCGGCCAGGGTCCCAGGGCATGTGCACACACCTGCGTGCCCAGGGAGTCTCGGGACGCACATCCAGAGCCTTGCCCGTGTGGCTCCAGGGGCGTGATCGCTCTGCACCATTTCACTCAGCTCGCATCTTTGGCTAAGCCAGCTCTTCCTGGTTTTTGACAAAAGCCAGGAGTAGAAGAGGAAGACTGTAGGGACCTGGGAGGCTAGGATGGCTCACCATTAAACAATAACCACACTATGAGATGTGTCCTTATTCATTTATGACCATCTCAGACACTATCTTCTTCAATCCCAGAAATTTTAGAGCGGGCAATTATGATCATCATCGTCCCCATGCCCACTACCACCACTGCCACCATCGCCACCACCGCCATCACCATCACCCCATCCCAACCACCATCATCCCCACTACCACCACTGCCACCATCGCCACCACCGCCATCACCATCACCCCATCCCAACCACCATCATCCCCACTACCACCACTGCCACCATCGCCACCACCGCCATCACCATCACCCCATCCCAACCACCATCATCCCCACTACCACCACTGCCACCATCGCCACCACCGCCATCACCATCACCCCATCCCAACCACCATCATCCCCACTACCACCACTGCCACCATCGCCACCACCGCCATCACCATCACCCCATCCCAACCACCATCATCCCCACTACCACCACTGCCACCATCGCCACCACCGCCATCACCATCACCCCATCCCAACCACCATCATCCCCACTACCACCACTGCCACCATCGCCACCACCGCCATCACCATCACCCCATCCCAACCACCATCATCCCCACTACCACCACTGCCACCATCGCCACCACCGCCATCACCATCACCCCATCCCAACCACCATCATCCCCACTACCACCACTGCCACCATCGCCACCACCGCCATCACCATCACCCCATCCCAACCACCATCATCCCCACTACCACCACTGCCACCATCGCCACCACCGCCATCACCATCACCCCATCCCAACCACCATCATCCCCACTACCACCACTGCCACCATCGCCACCACCGCCATCACCATCACCCCATCCCAACCACCATCATCCCCACTACCACCACTGCCACCATCGCCACCACCGCCATCACCATCACCCCATCCCAACCACCATCATCCCCACTACCACCACTGCCACCATCGCCACCACCGCCATCACCATCACCCCATCCCAACCACCATCATCCCCACTACCACCACTGCCACCATCGCCACCACCGCCATCACCATCACCCCATCCCAACCACCATCATCCCCACTACCACCACTGCCACCATCGCCACCACCGCCATCACCATCACCCCATCCCAACCACCATCATCCCCACTACCACCACTGCCACCATCGCCACCACCGCCATCACCATCACCCCATCCCAACCACCATCATCCCCACTACCACCACTGCCACCATCGCCACCACCGCCATCACCATCACCCCATCCCAACCACCATCATCCCCACTACCA